AGTTTACTCTATGTATTATATTTGTTCAATACTAAGGGAGTCTTATTTCTTTAAATTATTCAAGAAACATAGATCTTTATAGAATATAAATATTAATTTTCACAAAATAATATTAAATAAGGATTTTCATTGAATGAAAAAAGAGAACGAATTAAAATTTGGAAAATTATTTTCCGTAGTAAATCTATATAATAATAATAATAATAATAATATATTCTTAAATATAGTTTTGTAATTTGATATTTAAACTAAATGTTCGGGATTGAAGCATTTTACAAGACCGTTGACTCTATCGGCATCGCTAGTCCCTCTAGCTCACAAGTTCCTATAAACAGTTGGGTACGAGAATTTTCGCTTATTTGTTATGTTTTGGTTTCAAGTGTCCTACAATGTTTATATGCTCTTCGCATTGTAACGTCGCTTGGAATTCTCCGAATTTCTTAAGCTTTGTTTTTTTCTTTGATGTTCTATTGTTCTGCGCATCATATAAGATTCCAGTGCGGCAACACCGATGCTTTGTTGCCTATGTGATGGAAGCGCACACTACGCCTAGAGGCTCATTGTAAATTATTTAGTCAAACAGCTACTCAGTCATGAGCCAGTCAGCCAATAATCATTCAGCCAATCGAGTCAAGGAAGCATACGCAAGCCTTTCCAATATTAGTGCAGCCATTGTACACACTCTTAGTAGAGCCGCCGAAGCAAGAGGCGCTCTGATTGGAGACGCCAGGGAGGCAGGCGTTCCTTATGTGGACGCCGTGGTCAGCGGAATGCATTTAAGGAAGATGACCACAAGACATACTAGTTGGTCGTCCAGGATGGAAGAAGTCCTCTCTCTTACAAGAGACGCCATGGAGGACGGTGCTCTCTCTCTCTCTCTCTCTCTCTCTCTCTCTCTCTCTCTCTCTTATAGGGAGCGCCGCAGAAGACGTCACAGAAGACGGTCTGTCTCAACTGAATTCATGGAACAGGCATTACAAACGTAATACTAAGGAAACAAGAGAAGGTACAAATTCTGAAGTGACGATCAATCAAGAATGGGAGGAACGCATAACTCGTAGCATCTTTAAAGAGCGATTATCCATGGAACACATGCTCAAGGCTCAAGGCCAGTAGAATTGCATTACAGCCATAAAGGAGCTAACTCAAGGGCTCCCGGCATTTAATTGGATACATCCATTAAAGAAGTCCTATGCATAAGGGAGTTGATTGATGACTCGCACAAAACATTTAACAAGGAGCAATACTCATTTGGACGATAAATCAAACCAAGCAAGTAGCAGTTCATTCACTTCACCACTCTCCAATGAAAAGGAAGGTATAATCGTCATTGTACAGAAAACAATGCATCGAACAACCCTGTCGGCCACTGCATTGGCAAAAACTAAGTTCGTCTTTTAATTGACAATGGGTCGAAATCACATTTGTAACAAGGGATCTCGTGAAGAAGCTCAAGATATCTCGTCAACGTTCCGTCATCCTCATCCATGGAATTGGAGGATATTTATCAACCCAGATACAAGGTGCTGTATCACTTGTACATCAAGACCAGTGGATATTGTTCTTGGAGCAGATGCGTATGGACATATCATTAAGTTCAACATAATCAAGTATTCTTCATCCATGCCAATAGCGCAATTGTATATATAATCTAGTACTCGGACCTGTCAGCCTGGCAAACAGTTTGAATGCTACCGCATTCAAACTAAGCGTTAACAAAGGAAGTAGAGGACACTTTGAAAAAACGATTGACAAGATTTTGGGTGCAAGAAGAACTGCAAAAGAGCAGCGATTGTCAATACACAGCTGATGAGCAATGGTGTGAGGATCATTATAAAAAAAAAAACTAAATAGGAAGGTTCATCCCACTTAAAGAATATCTTAAAGTCCTCGGTGATTCTCACAATACTGCCTTCGATGTCTGCAAAGTTTAGCGAGACGATTTTCAAAAGATGAAAACTATCGTCAACACTATCAACAATTCATAACAGGATATGAAGAACTAAAACACATGAAGTGAGCTTCCCTGGTGTCCCATCATCGATCTCAATACTATCTGCCACATCACGCTGTATTTAACCCAGACAACACTACCACAAAAGTAACAGTGGTATTCAACGGCTCCAGCGCATCGACGTCAGGACATTCGATCAATGATCTTGTGCACACGGAAGCCAATTCGAATACAGAAATTTCAGACGTGTTAATCTGGATACGCAGACATCGACATCTTTTTTCTACAGACATAACAAAAAATGTATAGGCAGATAAAAGTTCTCAAGAACGATTGGGACCTACAAAGAATTCTTTTGAATTGATGAAGAAACCAAGAAAGTGCCATATCATCTAACAACACTTATCTATGGTACAAGAGTCACTCCGTTTTGAGTAGTCAAAGCATTGCTGTAACTGATAGAAGACAAGGAAGAAAAGTATCCCTTGGCCGTTTACATTGATATACATCAATGTAAATCTAATTAGGCCAGCTAGTGAATCCAAATTATCAGATACAGAATATATAGATAGTTTTAGAATTTATTAGGAATCCAAATCATAAATATCTTTGTTAGAGAATGCAAAATTAATCCAAAATCATGAAGTAGGAAAATGTTTAGAATTAGCCAAATACCACCGGGTTTCTCACACCATTACAACCGGTGGTTTTAGTCTAATTCTAAAAACTAAAATATTTCAATGTAATTTGAAATATATAGATTGAAAAAATAAGAAAATTTTTTATAATGTTTCAAAGCACTAATAATTAATATAAGTTTTAATTGTTTAGAAATTTAATTTCATACAAGATTAAGAAACGATTTTGAAAATATTTTACAAAAAAATGAATTCTTCCTTATTTTATAATTATTAATGATGAAACGAAGATTTAGTAATATTGAATATTATTTAATGAATTACTCTCTAACTTTCATTTATTTGAATATAACTAATATACGAAATATGCGGATAATGTATTCGTACAATACCGATTGTCCATTTACTTACAAATTAATAATAAGTTTTAAAAAATTTAAGTGATTTGTACTATCTTATTATATAGAATTTAAATATAAAATTTAAATATAAAATTTAATATCAAGTTTAATATGATAAAGATTTGTTAAGGAAGTTCTGTATCGCGACATGAATTAAAATAGAATAAACGCATACATTAAATTTAAAAAGATTGAAGAAAAATTTATTTATATAATCATTGAATAAAATAATGTTTTCTTGGAATTTGAAGCTTAATTAAAGCTGTAAAGACAAATGTATTTCAATTTTATATGTGTGAATATGTCTGTAAATGCCCACAAGTATAAGCACAAAGTATATATATATATATATATATTGGAAAATATTATATTTTCACGAGTGCCATAAGATATGTTTGGTTTAAATATATTATTTTGGAATATATGTTTAATTAATGTTTTGTTTCAATTAATAATAAATTAGAAAATTATCTAAAATTATTTCCTATTTATTTTAAGAATTTCAAATTTTTTAATCATATAATACAGACATATGTAAATGATTAAAATTGATCAAAATTAAAGTATTTTTTATCGGACTCCGTTAGTTATTAATTCTTGAACAAATACATACTAACATTAGATATAAATGTATATTGAACGCAGATATATATATATATATATATATATATATATGTGTGTGTGTGTGTGTGTGTGTGTGTGTGTTTGTGCGACGCTAATTAGAAATATATGAATTCAAATAATTTTTATCAATTTTTTCTCTGATTTGAAGATATATAATATTTATGTTAATAAATACAAAATTATCAAGAATATATTAAGAATTGATTTGATTAAAAAATACTATTATAAATGTTTCAAATACAGTCAAATTTTGATAGTACAATTAATCAAAAGTAATCATAGATGTGCATGGATGTTTATAAATTTATTACTACAAGTTATTTCAATTCACTATACTTTTTTTTATATTTTTTGTAGAAATATAAATTTCTACAAAAATATAATATGATAATTTGAAAAGATATATGATAATGAATTTATTTAAATAGTAATTTTAAGTTATTTAAATAAATTAAGCAATATTCAACAAATTCGTATCATAACACCAATGATATTTATTATATTCGTGAGATCTAGATTTTAATTATGTCTTACAATTATAAATTTTCCTAATAAATACTTAATTTGATGCATAACGATATTGTAATTTACATTAATAAACAATTAAATAATTCAAATGAAATTTTGACTTTATCTCAATTATTTGACTATATAAAGAATACTTTTTATTTACTCCTCTTTATAAAAACTTTGTTTCTTATATTTGTCTTTTTCGTTGCAATCGTTTTAATTATACACCAAATTATATATTTATGAGAAAAATATCACTTTTAATTGCTATAATTTATATTTTATAGACTAGAAGCTCATTTGATTGTGTTTTGTTTCTATTCGAAGATACACTCAATAAATATTGTTGAACGAATTTATAAAATAAAATCCCGTCTTTACTTTGTTTTGAATAATTTATTTATATCAGTTTAATATATTTTCCTATTATCCCTCTCACAATAAACTTTAATGTATTTTTTATCGGCGGATCTACATTTAGCAGCATACGATTTTTGATATAATAGAATTGCATATTCTCATATAATATTCTATATATTTTTCATTATCATTCATTTGTTTCTAATAATTTTGTATATATATATATATATATATATATATGTCTGTCTGTCTGTCTGTCTGTCTGTCTGTCTCTGTGTGTGTGTGTGTGTGTGTGTGTGTGTGTGTATGTGTGTGTGTCTGAATATGTAAATATTTATGATGTTCTCGTAGATTCTAAGTGATTGTACGAGAGAGGAAATCGGAAAAGAATTAAAAGAGAAGAAACAAAAGGAACAGCGAGAACAAGAAATTGTTTGAAGACGACTTAAATAAAAAAAGAGAATTATAGTAGAATAGGTCACGCATAGGTTGAATTTTAGCAACTGATTATACCGGCGTCTTTGGCAGTTTCCTGCGCGTTGGTGACGATGGCGCTTTGTTCGTTTCTGATTCTGTAAAATAAGAAACAACGTAGCAACTATTGTTACTAAAATGCTTTCTTTCTTTATGAAATTATTCTGAATTTTCAACGATATTATTATGTTAAGAACTAAATAAAATTTTAAAAATTAATAAATGTATTTATTGTCTTGCAACTCATGGTTTCACTATTTTTTTTAAAGACAATATTCAACATATATTGCACGATACAAAATTATTGCTTACCCCTTATAAATAAGAAAACAATGTAAATTATAGAGTATATATTAAAAGATGTATTTGTTCGATATTATTAATGAAATGTGTAACTTATAAATAGTTAATAACATGAATTTTCATCAAGTATGGCATGAACTTAGTAAAATTTAAAAGCTCATTCTTTCAATAAAAAAAAAATTTGGACATAAAATTCCAAACTATAAAAAGAAATAAGAAACTTAATAAAATAATATATGATAGTGATAACCATACCCTTACGTTGAGTATGATAAATTATTATAAATTACATGTTACATTAAGAATTTACATATTATTGAATATATTTGTTTTACTTTTTAAATAATACATATAATACCAGTTTTTAATTGAACTAATGAACATGATTACAAAATTTTTTGAAAAGTTTACCACGATATATAAAACTAATTTTTAAACAATTAATAGTGATCAAGAATATAAAAATGGTGATATGTCCGTGCATGTATATTACGCCTTAACAATCACAGTTTTTAAGCAAAAATTTTTACTAATTTAATTCATAGCACAATCAATGAGATAATGTAATTAATTAGGTTTACTTAGTATTAAGAGTACAAAGTCAGTATTTATACGCGTCGATGAATTGCATAAATTCAATTGCATAATAAATTTAGAATATAAATTCTAAAATACGTAATACGTACCGATTTGGCCAAGTCCAAGATTAGTCGGTGCTTTCTCTAAGACAGGCACCATTCCTGGTTCATCCAAAGGATCTCCACTTCTGTAAAGTAATTAATTTAATAAAAGGATTGCTAATTATAAATGCTTTATTTATAAAGAATTAATGCTACAATTATATATGCTATAATTATTATAATTATAAATGCTATGACAGATGGGATAGAAAAATTAAATATACAAAATATTTTTAAAGATATTAGTTCATATTATATGAACTATATTTAATGATGAAATTTCATTATCAAATTGTAATTAAATCGAATTAAAAAATACAATAATACGAGAAATTATTGATAAACTTTTTTGACTTGTATTACACTTATACCTATTATTATTATAAAATAATTTATAATTGTTGATTGATAATTCTTTGAATCTTTACCAAATAAAACTCCAATACAAATAAAATATATGTAAGCGATGTATATATATATATATATATATATATAATTCAAAAATATATTGTAGTTTGATATTTTCATTTTTGTTAATTATCTTATAACTTTATTGGTTTCATCTTATTAATTTTGGAAAAAAAATTTTAAATCATTTGTTAAAATTTTATCACAATTTTATAAATGCATGTAGAAATGCATGTAGAAATTATATTGTTATTCGTATTGTAGCTTTTATAAAAAATATAAAAATATATGAAACCATGCAACTCGTTCTCATTTATATAAGCATTGATACTTTTAAACATTACATTTAAATTAAATATTTCGTTAAATATAAATTAAGTAGTTTTAATAAGATATGAGGCATTGAAACCCTATATGTATATTGTCAAATACGAAATTAATTTTCGAATTAGATACTTTTCATTAAAACTTACTATTTTTCCTATTCCTTTGAACGAGGTACTTACATATCATTTGTATGTTCTACGATGAGTTCAGCAACGTCACCACTTCGGCCAATAATGTGTGCAACTTCTTCAAATGTACGGTCAATCAATGAGACACCACTCCACTCTAAAACCTGTTTGCGATCATTATTTATTTATGAAAATTTCAACAACAAAATATATTTGAGTTTGGATTATCAATGACAATATATTTTCTTCGATCAAGTTTCGCCACGAAAATCAGCTAATTAATGGGATTCAATATTTAGTTAGAAAGTTTCTATTCACTTGTACTTTTTGTTTGCTGCAAGAAATTTCACTTCTTTGCTTCGTTATTAAATTTTAAAAGTATCCGTTACGTGAATCCATCATCGTAATAGAGAAACATTGTCTTAAAGTTTTTCGTACATTAAAAATAATGAATGTTTAGATAAATATAATATAATTATTCAATTGAAATTTTGTATATTAAAAATAGATAGATCGAAAGAGCATATGAAATGTTTTTTTTTTTTTAATAAAAATGTCAGTAGTTCAAAAATTACATAATTTAAAATTTTCTCATTTAATATTTAAATAATACAGTATTGGATGGAAAATTGCATTCAGCCAGAAGGGAAGAGAAAGAGAGAAAGAAGGGCGGGGGGAGGGGGAATTACAAGATCATTTTCCGGAAATAAAAGTATGTTTCTCGAATACATCGCGCTTGACAAGGTAATTTAATCTCTTAATATATTATACACTAATATAAGATATTTCATTTCATATGTCTTTAATTTATGTATATATTGTAAGAATATATAAATTTAATTTTAAAGAACAATGCGCCATTATAAAATTAATAAAAATATTATGATACTCAATTTTGAAATGAAAAACAATATTAAATTTTTTTTATAATTAATATTATTATCTTTGTTTGAATCAATAATTAATTTTTATCAGGAATTCATAATTGAAATATAATATGAGATTATTAATAATTCTGAAATTAAAAAACATATAATTTAATATATATAATTTAAACAGACGGTATAAGTAATATACCGTCAAATGGTTCAGACTAATGTTATGTTTATTATTTTTATTAAACATTTAATATTAATAAATTTAGGGAAATATATGTAAGTTAATTTTATATGATTAAGCTTACGTAAACTAATGTATATTTTATTAGAACCGTATTTTCATTGAGAAAATCTTGTCGTAAAATTATTACTTTTGAAGATACCATTACTAAGCTTAATGTAATGTTAATTTATAATTTATAAAACTCGAAACAATGTATATTAGAGCAAATTATAGAATCTTAACGAGAAATATAAATTCAGATTCTCAAGGTCTAAATTTTTATAAAACAATATTTATGATATTACGGGTATATAATAAGATTTCTTTGTTCAATATGGCACTATTAGATATTACATACTATCACAATTTCTTAAATTGATTTATAAAATAAGTTCCGAAATTCAACGTAAAAATCGAAATATTATTCTTATTTTATTTCAATAATTAGGATGTCATATACATTATCGTATAAATCTCTAATACTAGAATTTTCTAGTTTTCGTTTATTTTAATAATGAGTTGTCATATATGTCTGATATTCGGTATCTTCTTGTTTGTGATGTATACGAATATTGAACAAATTTCATATCCAAAAATTAGAAACAAAATGATTAATTTAACATTATTAATTTAACTTATACACATAACAATTTCTATTAATGAAAAAATTAATTTTGAAAAATTTCCTTTATATTCATTGTTTCATAAATGAAAATAATAAGGATTAAAATTTTATAATTGTATAGGAATATTAAAAAATTTTAATAAATAAATATTTATTCATTATGCATAAGTATTTTACAAATTCCTGTTTGTATACGTATTTTGTAATTAAATTCAATATACTAAATGCATAGTTCAAATTCTACTACAATTATAGTAAATAACATTGCAAACAAAATTCAACTTCATGTAAAAAAAAATAGAACACTATGATTATAAAACTATACATGTACTTCACAATAAAGTTACAAAGTTTTCGATTAAAAACCAAAAATAGAATAAATTATATATATATATATATATATATATATATATATGTGCGTGTGAGTGAGGATATATTGGTGTGTTTGTATACGATTACCTTATCACCTTGTTGCAGGCCAGCTTTATCCGCAGGCCCTCCACTAACCATCCATACGATAATTGCATAAAGATGATTATCATTGCCAATCTTCCCGCCCACAATCCTCATCCCAAAACTTCGAGCTGTAACCCAAAAATTGAGTTGCCCATAATTATATGTACAAACACACACACACACACACACACACACACACACACACACAC